CTCTCTTGCACAGGACTGAGCCGTTGTTCGTGGATTTTGGCTTGTTGTCGAGGGTGGGCGCCATGAAGCCGTCGGTTCAGGGTAGACTGTGGGATGCTGTACTTTTCCGCTGCATCTTTCTGTGAACAAAGGCCTTCTTGAACCTCGGCTATAGCCAATTGAATAAGCTCTTCCCGGATAGCGGTCATGTTGATTTTGGCCCAGAAGTGGATGAGTTGTGTTGAGTTGAAGTTAGTCATGTCTGGAATGGTGGTGCGGTGCCAGGATTCCATTGTGGGGCCGATTCCGTTGCGGGGTCCAGACGTCTAATTACGAGGTTGCGTGATCATCCTTGCCTACGCGACGTTGGCCTCCCTCGAAGAACCCGATTCGACCTCTAAAACATAACGGTGCTTTCTAGACAGTCCCTCCATCCTGTTATTGACAAGCAGAGCCTGGAAAGAAAGAGCGCAGCCCCTCGCAGAGTCACATCCTCTCAAGTTATGTACCGCTCCATGCATGCTGTTACTGCAGCCCAAACTGATGTTCAAAAAATTTTTAACCAGACTTCTCAGGCAAGGTACCTTACTATACCATTGGCCTCAACGTTGAGCAGGAAGTTGCCCGGACACTCCGACTTGCAGCGCTCAATCTTCGCGCACAACCCGATAACCAAGCCGCCGTTGTGCGCGCACCGACCGCCACCAATGCGACTTCCTGCGAGCCCGAAACCCCTACGGACCTCCGGGTCATCTATCGTGGCGTCATCGTTCTATTGCTGTCTAAGGTAAGTTACAGTAGTCAAAAATGAGGCCATTGACCGCGAGCTGCATCTCCAGGCTGAGATTATTTGCATGCCGCCTGACTGCATCTAGAGGTTATCCCCCAACATCAGGTACATCTCACCCAGGGCCCGGAAAGTTGGTACCCTGCCAGCCCGGAGGTCTACTACTTGACAGCGGAGGGTCGGCGGCTGCACCCGGCCGAGATGGTCCCGCCAAGGACCACGGCGTGCCGTCCATGTGCCCTTGGAAAGAAACCTGCGGCGTGGGTATTATAGGCGGCAGGCAGGTGCTGTTTGCGTGGCCGGGCCCCGGGATGAATGGGGGCGGCGGCATGAGGCCTGTGTTACTTCTGTTCCCTGTCAGGGTCCCGCGGTCCGCGTGTCCTAGTTGGTCGTAGCCGCGTCCGGTAAACGCCGTCCCAAACTCGGTCCCAACCGGCAGCGCTCCTGACACCGGACCGACTGACGCCGCATCGGCCTGCGCCTCCCGCGTCTTCTGCGATATCCTGTTGTCCCGCCGCGCTCTGTTGGTGTACGACCTTGCGTTAGACTGGATCGCCCTCAGGCCAGCCCCCATGCACTGCACCGAAGCATGGTCAGCACCTTGACGACAATAGGTAGCAGGCAGTCCCGGCCAAGCACCTACCAGGGCCTCGACAACCTCCCACTTCATCTCAAGCCGGTTCGCAAGAGGAGACCAGATCTCCTTGCGCATGTTCATATACTCGTTGGCCACCATCTCCAACCTCCGACCGCTATGATCGTGTATTCCTTGCCGCTCGACAAGCCGCTCGTACCGTTTGCGGCATGCGTTGGCTGTTTTGGTCGGGAAATGCGTCCGCTGCAGGTCGGCCCAATTCTGCCCGCGCGTTCGGGCCTGGATCAGCGTCCTGTCATCTTCGGCTGTCCACGTGCCATGGTTGTATATCGAATAGGTGTATTCCGCCAACGCGGCTGTCTCGTCGCGAACAGTATCCGATCCCGGGCATCCACTTGCGAGATGCTCTGCGTCCGTTGGAACGTCTTCCATCTGCGTGTTTTTTGAGCGAAGTCCGGCGGGGGCCGTGTCGGGGTTGGTCGGGGGCAGAAGTCCGGCCGAGGATGGGGGGTATCGGAAGGGGTCCGGCCCGGGAGCCGACGTCGGTGGCTGCGCCGCAATCGGACGGTACTCGCGCCGCCGAGTCTCGACGTTCGACTGCTGTACTCTTGCTTGAGTCTCCTCTAGGCCCAAACCAGCGGCCTTGTCTCTACTTGCCCGCCGCGGTGGACCTCGTGTCCTCGACATCGTTTACGGTTTCGGTGCCGTCCGTATCGTGCCCTCTCCAGGCTATGTCCCAACACCACACGAAATCTGAAGCGAAGCTAAAATGCCTATCCAATCCAAGTAAGACGCCGTCGGAGAACGTTTTTGATTCTTTAATCTCTTCACGAAGCAGGTACGGCGGGCGGCTTGGTTGGGATAATGAAGCAATTCCCCCCCGGGATCAGCCTCCTGAAGCAGTCAGCCGCCTGCCGGAAGGACAGATCGTTGTGGAACCTTTGACCGCGAATCAAAGCGGGCCCAGAAGTCGCTGCTGCAATGCCGCTGCAGAGACGTGGGTCTAGAGGGTGGCCGCAGGAGACGCGGCCTGGTCTTGCCCCATCTGCTCCGGCCAGCTCCAACCGGTGCCCTCACTTTCACCGGGGATATGCTTACCGTCTCGGTGGCGGAATATCATCCTTGCCACGGCCGGGCGATGGGTTTCTAGGAAAGTTGCTTGCTCTTGGGACAAAGATTCCAGAGCTCGGGGGCCATGTCCCGCTGCTGCAAGGTTGACGTTAAGAGATCACAACGCCCCGTCATTTTCACCCTACTTGAGCGCATCGCCGAGTTCTAATGATACCTTACCATCAAGCACCTCTTTCATGCTGACGTAGACGTCTTCGCGGTAGCGGAGTTGGTCTGAGTGTATCTCACGGGCACACCTCCACCAAACCATAACAATCAGGGTTACCCGACGAGCCGCTACTTTTACACAGCCAGCTGCATCTCCCTTCATTCCAGAAGCTTTGGCCGCCCTCATCCCCGGGCAGCAAGCTGATAGTCCTGCAAGCCAAGTGCGGTTGCATGCCAAGCCCCCTCAGGGAGCCAGTCGCAGATGTTCGGGACATTGCAGATGAACCGCAGTCCTGCATTTACAGGGTTCTCTGCAGCGGCGTCAAATCTCCTGGGATGGCTGTACTGTGGTTGTGTCAAGTTTGGCTCTATCAGTGCTATGGCACGGGCTACGGTGCGCCAGCCCTCGACAACATGCCGGCAAGATCGATTCCGGCTCAAAGATAGTAAGCGTCGCCGGAGCTGGACCCTCACATTTGCGACTCTGGTTCTCTCTTCCTCTTACTCCAGTCTCATGATTATTCCTATGAATGTTCTCCCTACTTCTGCGTGTCCTGTACTTCACTCCTCTTACCCGTCCTTCCCCAACCACTCGTTATAGTTGCCTTCCACGACCCACGAGCAGCTACCCACAATACATCTGTCCCAGCCATCAGGACGCAAAATATCCCTGAAACGCACCCATCCAGTCATTTCCCAAGCCTCCATCCCGGATGTCTCCCATGCTCTCACCTCAACTCTCACAATATGTTCCTCCCCTTGCCGGGCCGCTCCTCAACCTCCCAGACGCCTACCCTACCCTCCTCCCCAACTCCCTCCCAGTCTCAATCACCACCTGCATCTCAACCCTGACCCAATCCCGATACCCGCGCAACCTGACCATCCTCAACTGCATCTCCAGCTCCGCCGCGCTCAACCCGCGGATCCCCACCCTTCCAGTCGCATCATCCCTCGAGTCTGCTGCCTCGCTGTTGTTGTGCCCCGGGGCTCCGTGCCAGACAAACCACCTCTCGGCTTGGTAGTCGACCGGCTGAGCGAAGCGGTACATGGTGTACTTTGTGAGGGCGTGGATACGGGCGAGGCAGGTCTCGTCGAGGGATTCAAGGAAGGCGTTTGGGTTTATTTCGTCCGGGGAGAAGGAGGGGTTTCTGGTGGTGAGGATGTCGGCAGCGAAAGCGACGGGGTCGAATTTTTGGGAGTAATAGGTGGCGGGTTGTTGGGTGGTGGGTTGCTTGGTGGTGGCGGGCCAGTGGATGGTGAAGTGCAGGTGGATGAGGAGGAGTTGGTGGGTGTGGAGGTCGAGGAATGAGGTTGGCGTTGTTGGTGTTGTCATGGTACTGGGAGAAGGGCGCCTGTTGATAGCTGGTGCAAGTATGTACCTGTAAATCCTCATGAGGAAGGTTGGTGTCAGGAATCCGGGGCTTTTAATGAAAATTGATCTAAAATGATAAATAAAGTCCCTGAATCATGACATACTCTTTGCTGTTGATAAAGCAATAACTGTCAGGAGTAGCTTGATTGTACCGAAATCCCATCATATCCGGTCAATGAGACTCTGGCTCCCACACATAACAATGGACATGGTTCCGCCGTTCAGGCATGAAAGTGTCTTTGTTCGCCGTCCCTTTACTCTCAATGAACAGGTAAGCTCATTCACGCATGCAGTCCTGAGAATTATTTTCAAAGCGGATCCTTGGAGATCATCAGCTGTGCTACGGTCAGCGGTATGCTTCTCCTGTGCGAGGTGATTATACCGATTGGACGGAGTATTCCTCACAGTGTCCTAAGGTTCAAGAGCTCGCGCGACCTCTCCTCAATTCTCTCAGCAAGCTTCCCGTGCCGATCGTCAGCGTGGCGGATCAGTCGGGACCGGTTCTTCAGCAGCGCCAATGCCGGGCGTCATAATTGAAACGCTGAGTGGGATCGGCCTCCGCGCCGGGGTAAGTCCACGCCCACTTTGACATCATACGCCGAAGCGAAGGGGGCAGGACGTCCATATGCTGGCGTGAGATCTTGAGAAGGTGTGCTGTGACGAAGTATTCCCTGGCCTGCCTTCCGTCAGGATCGAACAAGAAAGTGCGGAGTTTTCCTTGGCTGTTGATATCTATGTCTTTGACCAGATTGCAACAGATATTTAGCGCTCTGCGTAGAGATGTTCTGATGGAAAACGGAAGAGGAGGCTACCTGGATTTGGTGAAGGTTCTCGATGTAATCGAGACACGCGTTCCTGTCATCACTCCACTCTTCAACTCACTGCAAAGGAGCATTTGGAAAGCCGTTACACCAGAGAAACGTCCAACAGGCTCCATCCCGTGCACTTTCCAGTCAGTCTCGCCTCAACCGCGCGGACCGGGCAGTCACCCTCTTCATATGGCGTAACAGTACGCATGCTGAACCAGATTCGCTGCTCTCTGAGGGCCACTTTGCCGCCAGTATATCGTCCAGCGCTGTCAACAAGTCAAGTCAAGTCAAGTCTGGCGGCAGACTTGACTTGACAAATCTGTGCAAGACTTGACTTGAACGACCCCTGACTTGACTTGACTTGGAAGACTTGCCAAGAAGGCTCGGAGGTTATTCCGAACACCAGTTAATTACAAAAACTGGGCCACCAAGCCTGTCATAAGGCCACAACCTTCCCAACGGACTCTCCCGCGCCCAATTCCGTATACATTGAAGCCCTGAGATGGTACCATCACCAAGGGAGTGTCGTTGTGACCCTATCGTGAGCTTAGTGAGGCTGAAGGTCCGCTCGCATTCCGTTGCGCAGGGAGGTATCGAGAGTATTTCGAGCGCCATACTCGTGAGACGTGGATACTCGTCTTTCCGGGCTAACTACCATGGTATTGGATTGTCAACGGGGTGTACAGGCCCTCGTAAATACTCTTCAACCTCATCTACAATACCCCCGGCAACTGGCGTATTATAAAAGCTATCTCCAAAGCCATAGACTAGAACCGGGGTGCATGGGCGTGCTGCGGGCTCGACTGCTGGGTGGTGCACATCGAAGTAGGCTACAAACCGCCGCTGAATCTCTAAGATCCTCTTGTCGTTGCCCTCGTAAAACAGCTTCACCCACTTCATCCTACAGCCCGGGTGCAGAATAAGAGTTGCCTAATAAGCAGGGGTCTCATCTAGTATATCAAGATACTTCTCGAGCTTGTCAATGGCGTATTTGAGGCTAGATTGAAGGCTCGAGAAGGAAGGTGTTGAACTGAACTGGCTCCTTGGCACCTGGATTCAGGGGCTGGGCACTGTTGCCCAATGCAGTAAGCGTGGAAGACTCGTCAACCACCCAAAAGCAGGGTCTGGCGAGGGTCCCGAAGCCCTCGGTTCTTTCAAGAAAAACACACACATGACGCGTGCTTCAGACAACTAATTCAAGCTTCATCTTGTGCCTCAATTGATGCAGTGTCACCTGGTTGGTCTATGCCTATTCGAGCCTGTAACTGTTGCTGTCCAACACCTTGCGTTGATGCTTTTCCACAATGCACGTAGGATCCCACTCCTCGCCTTGACGCCGGGTTACATACTGCTTCCTATGCGGGCCACCAGTAACCCAGGTCTCGTCGGTCCAAAGGATCTTTGCCCACTGCTCAGGGGTCCAATGTTCATGCTCTTTGGCCCATGTCTCTCGGAGTTTCCGGGTTCGTTCGGTTATCGGTGGCTTCTTACGAGCAACTCGTCGGCGGAAGCCCAGTCGATAAAGAGCATGCTTGATCACCCATACGCCAAAGACCCCAGCGAAGATGATTGTTGAGAGCTCAAGGAAGCCCATCCGACGAGCTTTTTTACTGGAAACGACATACTGAACAAGCTCGTTTTCTTGCTCTGGTGTTAACGTCCGTGGCCGGCCAGTACTCCGCCTAGCAGTGGCGTCGCGAGCGCGAATAGCGGTCCGGATCTGGGCTTTAGTATAGCCAGTAATACTCTGGATCTCAGCTTGGTTTTTGCTGGCATCAAAATATAAAACCCGAACTCGCTGGCGTCCCTCGGTAGTAAGCTGTTTGGTACCGCTGGATCCCTGTGGCCGTGCCATAGTGCTGTTGTGAGTTATCGAAAATAAAGAGATGCTTTAGAAGACGCTGTTCCACAGTAAAGTGGAAAGTTTGGGTGTGTTCAGCTGATTGGCCAAAACGCGTCAGCCTGCTGTGCCCCACAGGTACCTGACATGGGGGGGTTTTCTTTATGCACGCAACCACAGTAGATAAGATAAGGCTGCCCCACTCTGGCTGGTGGGATATCCCCACCACTGCAGTTGCTGCTTGCAAGAGCTCACAGACCAGATCATTGTCGACTGAAGAGCATACAATCATCGAGCATATTCCTATTTTCCTTTTACGGTCTGACAGGATCGAACTACCGGCTGAGGGTCTGCGGCATGGCGGAAGCGGCGCAGACCCGGCCACGGTCGACGCGACCGACCAGGCTACATCGCCAAGGCGATCAACGCGCGCCTCGAAACCGAGCGCGAAAGTGCGAGCAGCGATGGAATCTTTCGAAACCACGGTCACCACGTCGGGAAAGGCCACGAACAACGCCACACGGACGGCCGTTTTGAGAGGAACGCACGCACAAGGAAGCGAGGGTAACACCAACAGCCAGACCGAAGGGGGGAAGACGGCGCTGCAGAGGCTCTTGGAGGCCATCGCTGAACATCGAGATGAGATGTGCAAGATAATCGCCGAGCAACGTGACATAATATCCGACTTACGCGACACAGTGAACAAGCAGCAAGAAACGATTCAGGAACTGCACCGCCAACTGGCAAATACCAAGACTCAGCTGGTGGACACCAGGACTCAGCTATCAGAGGAACTGAGACAGGCCCGAGATCAGATCGATGCTCTAGCACGTAACCCGGTCCTCACGGCTTTAGCTCAGTCAAGCCCAAGAGCATCGTACGCCGACGTCGCCCGCACACCACCGTCGAGCCAACCGAGCGGGCTGCGCACCCTCTCCTTGCCAAACACGACGCCTTCGACCTTCACCGACACACTGTTTTGCACAATCGATACATCTAGAGTGGAGGATGGAGAGAAGGGGAAGGTTCAGGTGGCCGATATCAGAAAGACTATTGAGGCAGAGATCCGGAAACAGGAGAACAAGGAAAACTGGCGATGCACGGCGGTGGTAAAGGAAGCCCGAAACCCAGATCGAATCAGGGTGGTTTGCAGGGACGAAGGCGAGGCCCAAGCGGCACAGAAGATCAACGTTCCTGGAGTCCGCGTGTTGAGGGACCAGTTATACCCAGTGAGGATCGACAATGCCAACCGGACAGCAGTCCTTGATGTAGAGGGGAATATCCTCCCTGGAGCGGCGGAAGCATTGGGAAGAGAAAACGAAGTCAACATTGCCAAAATCGCCTGGCTCAGCAGGAAAGACGCTGGCAAAGCGTATGGCTCGATGGTTGTCTGTGTAACCAAGGGCAGCGAAGCGAGACGGCTCCTGGATGCACGCTACTTCCATCTGGCTGGGGAATCGGCTTACACAGCTGCGTTTGCACCCCGGGAGGGTCCAACCCAGTGCTTCAACTGTCAAGAACTGGGCCACAAGGCTTTTGCATGCAAGAAGCCACAGACATGTGGACGGTGCGCTGAACAGGGACACCATCACAACACATGTCAAGCCACAGTGATGAAGTGCGTGCTTTGCAGAGGACCACACGAATCGTTCAGCAAGAACTGCCGGGTGCGCTGGCTGCATAATGGCACACGGAACGCTCAAAATTCTTCAGCTTAATGTCCACAAGCGGAGAGAGGTGCAGCAAAGTCTGCTAAACGACGAGGACCTGAAGGATTATGCAGTGTTGGCGGTCTCAGAACCATACGCGAGGACGGTGGACGAAGCGGTGGTGACCGTCCCAATGGGACATCACAACTGGACCAAGTTGATACCAACGACAAAGTGGAACACAACTTGGCCAATCCGGAGCATGATGTGGGTACGAAGCGACATGGAGGTCGAGCAAATCCAGCGCCGTCAGCAGACCTCACTGCAGCACAGATTCGACTCCCAGATCGGACAGTGCTGATAGTGTCAATCTACGTTGAAGGTGGCAACGACGTAGCTCTGGACGTCGCAATGGGAGAGCTTGATCGGCTAATCAGAAGGTTCCGAAACGGAACGGGATCTAGAACAGACGTCGTTCTGGCGGGTGACTTCAACCGCCACGACCAGCTCTGGGGAGGAGACGATGTCTCACCACTGAGGCGAGGTGAAGGAGACCGCATCGTCAACCTCATGGATGAACACTCCCTCTGCAGCCTCCTTCCAAGAGGCACGAAGACATGGCAGTCGGGGGACGTAGAAAGCACGATCGACCTGGTACTGGCTTCAGCAGAACTCGCAGACCAGTTACTTAGGTGCAGGATCCATCCCTGTGACCACGGATCTGATCACAGAGCGATCGAGACGACATTCGACATTGCAATAGAAGACCGCCCAACGGAGACGAGATTTCTCTTCAAGAATGCACCGTGGACAGAAATTAGGACCAGGGTGGCGTCGAACCTAGAGAACGTCCCCTGGGATGGCAGCGTCCAACAGCAGACGGATAGGCTCATGGCAGTGGTAACTGAGGCAGTCTACAGCCTGACACCCAAAGCCAAACCGTCACCATACGCCAAGCGCTGGTGGACAACAGACCTGACAAGGCTCCGCCGGACCTACACATTCTGGAGAAACCAGGCGAGATCACGGCGCAGAATGGGGCAAACATCGTTAGAGCTCGAGCAAGGAACCAGGACGGCAGCCAAGGAATACCACGATGCTATCCGCAGACAGAAAAGCTCACACTAGAACGACTTCCTTGCCGACGACGCGAACATCTGGCAGGCAGCAAAGTACCTGCAAACCGACAGTGGCACTATGGGTGACAAAATCCCCCCGCTTATCCGACCAGACGGCTCCGTCACGGAAGGCAAAGCAGAGCAAGCTCAAACGCTACTAGCTACCTTTTTTCCACCGCTCCCAGCCAGGATTGAGGACGAGGGACAACGCCCTCACCGGGCGCCAGTAGACATGCCGGATCTAACGATGGAAGAAGTGGAACAAAAGGTCATGTCCGCTAAACAATGGAAGGCACCTGGGGAGGACGGCCTGCCAGCAATGGTATGGAGACAGCTTTGGCCAGTTGTCAAAGACAGAGTGCTCCTCCTATTCCAGACCTCACTTCGAGATGGCGACATCCCTAATCAGTGGAGGAATGCCAAGATCATTCTACTGAAGAAGCCCGAGAAGAGCGACTACACTCTAGCCAAATCCTGGAGACCCATCTCGCTGCTCTCCACACTCGGCAAGATGCTGGAGGCAGTGATTGCGGAACGCCTGTCCTATACTGCAGAGACATTTGGCTTGCTACCTGCGAAACCACTTTGGAGCTAGGAAGAGACGTTCCACTGAGCAAGCTCTCCTACTGCTGCAAGAACAAATCTACAAAGTATGGAGGGCTAGGAAAGTGCTCAGCCTGGTCAGCTTCGATGTGAAGGGTGCATACAATGGGGTCTTCAAGGACAGGCTACTGCAGAGGCTCAGGGCAAGAGG